ATGTAAGACACGAACTCTAGATTCAGAGTCGCATGAGCTCAATAGTGAAGTCAAAAGAACCAGAGTGCGAGCAATAATAGCTTCACAGACAAGAGATGAGGGTTGTTCCTAATGCAATGTTGGCTTATTTATCACCACATATTGCCAATGTTCTCATTGACACCGGGGCAAGACTTAATCTTATGATGTACCCCTTATACGAAAGACTACGAGTTTACTTTGAAGAAGGGGGAAAATCCAATGTCTAACTGGTCGATATGGGGTAGTGAAAAATATGTCTCTCCAAGTGGGACCCATTGAGTTCCTAACTGACTTCCTTGTTATGGATTGAGGAAACAATTGGGAATATCCCCTTATCTTAGAAAGGGATTTCTTAGCTGGTGCTAGAGCAATTGTAGACATATCGACCGGTGTGCAGAGTTGGACAATACGGACATACACTCCATCTCACACCCCCTGGCAGAAGTCGTCTACACACATAAATTAGAAATCAACTCCCATTGATTTAGAACAAGAATCCCCTGATAACAAGCTTCTCACAATGATAAGAAAGAATGGAATCCGAGGACGTTTGCTCCCCACATTCACAATGTCTTCTCCACTAGTCCTCACAAACACCATTCCACCAGAGACGATGGGAGTGGTAATGGCTGGATTTTTGGGCGACATGAAGGTTGCCATTGTAACAAGAGCACTTGTGGCCAACCTTGCATGCAAAAGGACATACGACTGCATCGATTCCCAACCCGGCAAGGAAAAAAAAAACGTGGTGACGGTTGGCTCACATAGACCAACCGCACTGCCTAACTCAAAGGCATAAAAGAGAGGACTCCGTGGGAGGCAACCATTGTCTGACATATAACTTAAAAACGTTATAAAAAGTATTAACGGGAGACAACCCAGATTGTGTTACTTTTCCTTTTTGTAGGATGGTTTGGATTATATTTGAATAAAAGTGTTGGTGGTTTAATTAAATTCAGAGGATCGACAGTAGTGTGTATGCTAAAGCAGGGTGTGTTCCCCTCAATAATTTTTTTTGTTTCCTTGCGATAGGTTTTGTCTACCTATACTTTAATGAAGAATATTGGTCACACCCAACAACCAAATCGAGCAGACAACCAGCCACAAATTAAAGTCGGCGGCCAAAACGGTGGCCTGGAGTACATTTTTGCCACAAAGGTTGCCGAATTTAAGGGGTCGGGCTTGCCTCCCCGTCTTCCATATTTCACCAAAAGCACTCATCGCCTCCTTTTTCCATCTTCCTCTTTACCATTTCCAAGAAATATCACAAATCAACTACTGCATCACACCCAAAGACTCTTCCTCACGTACAACCCCCAAATTGCATAAAATAAGAATTTGGAGGTCTTTACTCCAAGCTTGATGCCGCCACCACCAAGCCCTCCCCTCTTCGATTCTCTTCTATTCCTTCCACTTCCTGGCTTCCAGGTATCGGGTATGTTATGTATAACAAACCCTAGAAATTTGAAATTTCAATTTGAAGGATTGTTATTGAAATGGATGATGGTTCTAGGTTGCAATTACATGTGAGAGTGATGGGCTTGTGAATTTGCATAACAATGTCATCCCCTACATGTGAAATTCGGTTCATAATGCTCAATTAAATTGGGATGTAACGTCTCTCATTATGCCATGATCCAATTGGTTTTCGTAGTTTGTATGAATGACGTTGACATATGAATGAAAAGCTCTGCTCTAGCACCATCTATATGCATGATTTGCCATTGCGTGATCGTAATGTCACTTTGACTTTGGTAAGCTCAGATTACCATTGCGTGGTAATTTAATGAGTTTTGTGACACGTATGTGATCTAATTTTGTCCATTGCTTCGCTTTCAGTTTTTACTTGCACATTTTGGACACCTCTGCCAAGCTTATGGATTTTTTTCTGAACACACAAAAAGGCGGCCAAATTTCCATCTTTAGCCAGAGACCGCCATTCTGCGTGCCTTTTTGACTTACGGAGATTGATCTTATAATGTGTGGCATGTGGTATGTTCAGTAAGTGGCATACAAATATTGGGTAAGTTAGTGATTTTATGCAGGGAGTTCACTCATATTTGAACTTGTTTTGTTTGTGTCGTATATGATGTTGATTGCAGGGTCAAGGAATGGATTAACAAGGTAAAGAAGAGTTTGTCTTCCTTTGTCTCTTCCTCCTTATCTCGGAGGAGTGAGCCTGTAGCGGACATGGATGTAGACTACGTGGCAGCCCCTTCTACGGGTGGCCGATGTAGCATGGAGTTACGTCGTTGCAATCACCCCCAGGTTAGGGCTGCTCATCAGGAAGTTCTGGAGGATGATGATGAGGAAGGACCATTCCATTTATATGGTGTCTCCCATCGATGTGGCTACAGAATGGTGCACTCAAACACCAAAATGGAAGGTGGTATTGAGTCGGGCGAGGAGCCAATCATGAATTTGAGTTCGGAAGCCCCCCACCGGCGACTCCAATACCCCCATTTGGGGGTGGGGGTTAGTGAAATTCGTGGAAATGAAGAGAAGGTGAAGTGACATGAGGAGAAGGTGAGGATATGAAATGCCTTGAATTAACGACAGAGATTGAGACTTAGATCTATAGTCGATGATTTGTGTTGTCTATAAGAAACTTATGATAGACCCTCTTACTCTCCACTAGACCCTTTAAATTATACTTACGCTATTCATTATTTAATTGGCCTAATACCACTACAACACTCAAACTATCAAAAAACTGTCACGTATGTCCTATTTTATTCAATATTTCATTCTTATTCCTTCGTATGATACTTTGTGTCATTTTTATCCCGGCTCTTTCGTTGATCATTAGATATAACGGTTGAAAAATGGTGGTCAAACTGATGTTGAATTTTTTTTATGTGGCAAAAATTAAACTGCAACGTAGAAGCCATGTCATTGATACATCATATTATCTTTGATTCAACATTAAAGTAAAATAATATAATTATAAAAAGTACTACATAAAACAATAGTCTGTCAGTCTCCTCTCCGTTGACCCCGACCCCGGCTTCTGTCGCCCTTTATTGTGCCGCCATTGGCAAATTCAGAGAATGGGGCTTTTGGTTTCTGGTCGGATTTGCGATTCGACTCTAGTTCCACCGCTTCATGTTCCCAATCCTCTGCTACCGTCTTACCATTCGAAACCTGGTCCCTGAAAATCGAGAAACAAAGCACCGGAACCCTATATTTTGTCTTCCTCGCAGCTCAACAGTCTCGCCTTATCTCAATCGGAATGTTCCAGAAGTCTCTCCCAACCCGGTTCCTCGCCAAGACTTACCACCCTATCGAGTTATTGAGAGTTGCGTCGCTGTCGCTCTTCAAATCGGTGAAGAAGGGCTCAAATCAACGATGGATGGTTGGGATTTGTGGCGGGAGAGACAAAAATGTCGATCAGAGAGGTTGGTTTCAGGGCAAGATCGTAAAGAGTGGGCGACGAGGGTTCCAGGCGCAGAGACGATGAAATCACGGGAGGGGGTGCGAGGACTAGATGAGAGAGAGAGAAAGAGATAAATTAGCTTTTTATTTATTTAGATAATAAAAATATCATTTTTAATCCAAGTTAGTTGAAAAATAAATAAAAGTTGAAGTTAAAATTTTTAGGTTACTTGCCACATCATTGCTGACTAGATTTTCTGTTAAAAACTATATGTCAACAGCGGTTAACACTAACGAAAAATAACTGAGAACATGGATGGAACATTAAATAAAATAGGACACAAGTGACATTTTGTTGGTAGTTCGTGTGTTGTAATGGTATTAGCCCTATTTAATTTAATGATATCGAACTTATCTTTTCTAATCGATATACCCTTGTACAAATACTCTTATTCACCTAATGAGAATATTAAGCCTTCCTTACTCAATTTTTTTTTCCTACAAGGCTTTTTTCTAACTTTTCCACCTTTTTAGTTTTATTAATAAAGAAAATATAATATATTTTAAAATAACCGTTAAATTACCATTTGACTACTGCTAGATGTAATAGAATTAACATTCTACTAAAATCCTACCCATCAATATTATAAAAAATCATTTGAGACTTGGGAGTTATAAGTTTTATCGTATTGTACAACTAAAAATGTTATCATGCACACTCGTAACATTTCTCGTCTCATATTAGAACATCCTATCATTCATAAACAAAAGCTACATTTTCATGCAATGCTACCTATTATTCAAGCAGATTCGCTTATATTCATGCACATGACCAATTTTTCATGCAATTTATGTAAATGAGATTAATGAGTGCAAAAAAATTGTTATGTATGAAAATGAGTGAATCAACATGAATAATCGATATTGCTGTTTGGAAATGTAGATTTTGTACATGAAAGGTGGAATGTTCACTGTGAGACAACTATCTTTTTCTATAAATAACGCATGTTACGAGTTTCATCGTAGAGTTTAAATAGAAAAGTAAATGAAGTTATGAGTTCAAAATAATTATCTTATTAAAAAAAAAAACAAACACATCCATGGAGATGTGAATAAGAGAAAATATTATTGATTCTTAATATCAATATATACATAAAAGAAAATAATTATTTTCTTCTTTTGTATAAACGATATACCACGAACAAAATCGAAGAAAAAACCAAACAAACACCTTCATTACCCTCATCCACTTTCTTTGTTCTCTCTCTTTCTCTCTCTTCATCTGAATCCAAAATCAACCTAAGCAAAAATCCATTTCTCTCAAAAAAATTGATCACAAACAAGGGGAAAACAAGAATTTGATTCAACAAATAAAAAGTAGAATTTGTGTTTGCAGGAAAAAGAGTTGGGAGTCGACAACCATGTTCAACGGATGTGCATACGTATTGGGGAGAAAAATTGATTGATTTTCATTCATCTTCCCATTTTGTTTGTTCCTTCTTAACATATGGGATCTAAAATTGTTTGGTCGGCGTAAAAAAGTCGTAATAGAAGAGGCATTATTCCTCCACATACATTGTTTTGTGATAGATAGAACAGATTAGATGGCTCAGCAAGGGCAGGTGTTTATCGACCCTGCTATTTTGGATGATATAATCAAGCGTTTGTTGGAATTTAAGCAAACTAGGATTGCCAAACAGCAGCAGGTCCAACTAAGTGAGAGCGAGATCCGCCAACTCTGCACTGTCTCTAAGCAAATATTTCTTCAACAACCTACTCTTCTGGAGCTTGAAGCACCCATAAAGATTTGCGGTCAGTTTTCCTATTCCCTCCTTTTTGTAGATTGCAAAGTCTGATGTTTTTATATCTTTTCATGTATAAATTTGAGAATTACCCTTTTGTGGTTGTAGAATTCATATGTGATACATCTCTTAAATTGAAGCTGGAAAATGAGAACACATGTTTTCTTTGCAATTTGGTTAAGAAGTTTGCTTGTTGTGAAGACAAAAAAATGTGGTAGTGTTCACGTGCATGGGAGTTAATGTTAGAGAGGTTGGGATAGGTCAAAGTATTGTGTGTTTAGGTCAAAATTGTTAGTCCCATAATTACAATGTGGAGAGGCTTCTAAGAATTATAAGTAGACATGACTCTCATTACTAAATGTATATGTTGAAGTTGTTGATGTTGTATGTTAGTGAAATTTATTCATTCTAGATTCGTGTGTTATTGCTTCTATGTGAACCCCCTCTATCTTTGTTATATATCCAGGTGATATTCACGGGCAATATTCTGATCTTTTGAGGCTATTTGAGTATGGTGGCTACCCTCCTCATTCCAATTATCTATTCATGGGGGATTATGTTGATCGCGGGAAGCAAAGTCTGGAGACAATATGTCTTTTGCTTGCCTACAAAATCAAGTACCCTGAGAACTTCTTTCTTCTACGAGGAAACCATGAATCTGCATCTATTAACCGTATATATGGGTTTTATGATGAATGCAAGCGTCGGTTCAATGTGAGACTCTGGAAAACTTTTACAGATTCTTTTAACTGTCTTCCTGTTGCTGCTCTCGTAGATGACAAGATCTTGTGTATGCACGGAGGTCTCTCTCCTGACTTGACAAACTTAGACCAAATAAGGAACATAACTCGTCCCGCTGATGTTCCTGATTCGGGTTTGCTATGTGATCTTCTTTGGTCTGATCCCGGAAAGGATGTTAAAGGATGGGGGATGAATGATCGCGGTGTCTCGTACACCTTTGGTGCAGATAAGGTTTCAGAATTTTTAATGAAAAATGATATGGACCTAATTTGTCGTGCTCATCAGGTTAGTAAATTTTGCTTTAATTTCTTCTGTCACAAAATTGCTTTATATGGATTAGATATTTCTCTGATTGTAAAACACTGATTTCAGGTTGTGGAGGACGGATATGAGTTCTTTGCAGATAGACAACTGGTGACCATCTTTTCTGCTCCAAATTATTGCGGCGAGTTTGATAACTCTGGCGCTATGATGAGCGTTGACGAAACTTTGATGTGTTCTTTTCAAATACTTAAGCCAGCTGACAAAAAACTGTGAAGGGATATAGTTACTCACTTGATTTCTGCTTATGATCACTAATGTAAGTTTCTTGACATGATCATATTTATCTTTTTGACTTTATGGTATATGTATATTTTAGCATAAACTGGTCCAATTCATCAGTTTCTTGTAGTAGCTCATATATCTAAAATATTCGTCATCTACTAAACTAGAACTAACTATTCGTGCATGATGGAGTTATAAATATACATGCATGCATGATGGCGTAACATGTGATTTATCTAACAATACATCTGCAAAAATAAATTAATCATCTCGATTATTAGTTGTTGTTGTTGGGGGTGGTGGCTATGTTTATCGATCGCACTAAGGGAGTTAGAATTACTTTGTTGTAATAATTTTCTTATGAAGGTGAAGCTTTCAAACTTTCTTCCTATAAGGAGCTAATAGTTTCTAACATAATTTTTTCTCGTTTTTTGTCTAGTTTTCTCACTAGATGTTACAAGGGCTATGTAAATAAATCTCATTTTAAATTTCATTCAAGCAGTAATTATGGTGATCTCATATGTAAAAATTTCTTCTAAATATCAGAATATGTTAAGAATCTACCAAGTCTTATCATCTAAAAATGAAATGATTGAGAGGATTAAAAAAAGTAACAAGAACTTATTACAAGCTGTAAAACATTTGTTTGCTTTAAGTTGAAAGAGATTTGAAATTTGTCCTTTTCTCGTTCTATTTTACTAGATTTATCACTGGTAACTTGCAATAACCGTGTAAATATATTATTTTATATACCTCTTTTAAGCAATAAATTACTATGATTTGATATATGAGAATGTCTTCTAAACAGTAGCCTAGTTTAACCGCTTATTTATAGAGGTGGCAATTGGATCGGATTCGTGGATTCGTGGATTGGATTCGTAGATCCATGGATCAAATGGATTGGATCCAATGGATTGGTGGATTCATGGATTGGTGGATTGATCCATGAATCCAAATAGCATCCAATGCTTGGACCAAAATGTAAATTTTGAAAAGTTTAGGTACTAAAATGTCATAATGAAAAATTTTAGGTACCAAAATGTAATTTTCCAATGATATTTTTCGTATAAAAATATAAATTTTAGGTACCAAAATGTAAAATATAAAAAAAATATAGGTACCAAATCGTAATTTGCCATTTGGATCCATGGATTGATCCATGAATCCACCAATCCAATTGGATTTGGATCAAATGAATTGGATTTAAATGGATTGGATTAGGTGGATAATTTGGTGGATGGATTGGATTGGATTCATGGATTTGGATCCTAATTGCCACCTCTACTTATTTATCATCTTAAAAAGAAGCAAAAGAATTTATTTGAAATATGCATTGCATCCAAATTTATTAATCACTCATATTGCTTATGTCAAATCTATATGCTCCATCCAATATCTCATTAGGTTACTATCTATACACCTCATACATTCATTTACATCAAGAGGAAAGTGAGCAAGTTTGTGAGCCATTGCATTTGCTTCTCGTCGTACATACTTCCAGGTTCTAAAGTCGCCTTGTTCTACAGCTTCTAGGATGGATTTGCAAATTGTTCATGTCTCTGTCAGATCCTTCGTTTGTTTTTGGAGCTTGGTCACAAGGGCTTTACAGTCTAACTTGATCTCGTATGGTCCCAAACTGAAGCTCCTTAATCATGGTTATTGCTAGCAGGCCCAATGCTCCAACTTCTATAGCCTTTCACATAAACCTCCAGCTCCCTTAGAATTACTTTTTTGTAGTCATTATCTTATGAAGGTGAAGCTTTCAAACTTCCTTCTCATTATGGAGCTACTTGTTTACGACGAAGTTTGCTCTCCTTTTTTGTTTAGTTTTCTCACTAGAAGTTACAAGGGCTATGTAAATAAATATCATTTTAAACCTCTTTTGAGTAGTAAATTATTGTGATCTCATATGTAAGAAATGTTCTTCCAAATATGTTAAGAGTTTACCGAATTTTATTATCTTTACAATCAAATGATTGAGAGAATTAAAATAGTAACAAGAACTTATTACTAATTGTTAAAACAATTGTTTGCTTTAACTTGACAGAGGCTTGAAATGCGTCCTCTTTTCATTTTGATTTACTAATTTTTTGCATTGGTCAGTTGCAATAATGTGTAAATGTATTCATTTATGACCCTCTTTTCCGCATAAATTACTTTGATATGATATATGGGAATGCCTTCTAAAGAGTAGGCTAGTTTTATATCGTATTTATCATCTTAAAAAACAAACAAAAATATTGGGTGAAATAAAATGTACTTTGTCATTCTTTTCCTTTTGTTTGACTAATTTTCTCACAAGAAGTTGTAATGCTTGTGCAAATACATTTTCTTTTGCAGTTTTTTTCAAGCTATAAATTATTGTGATTTCATTTGCAAGAATGTTTAGACATCAACTTGTTTAGGGAATTTTAGGAACATTATTATCTTCATAGCTATAAATTTTGGGACCATTTCCTAAACTTTCTTGCTTTGAGTTGAAAGGTGGAAATTTCGCCCGCTATTTGATTACGTTTTGAGAATCAATTAATTTAAAAATGTATTCTTGCTATCCTTGGTTTGCACTCACCAATTATATAGAAAAAAATCCATATTGTATTGCTGAAATATAATAGCAAGTTCATTTCTGAGGGAATACATCTCTTGTGCAATGTTTAGTCATAATCTTACAGGCGATGGTTAGAACTGGAATACAAAAAAGCTCTGAACTTAATTCTTCAGCCTTTGAGTGGCTTGACTCCTAACTTCTTACTGTGTCGTGCTGCCAGCAACGAAAGGCAGACAGGAAAGCAGACCCTCACAAGCAGAACAACATGGTCGAGATGAGTGAAGTGAGAGAATCTAGAGGGGCTACATCACACTACTGGCTTAGGCTTGGGAACTCCGTATACCTAAAAGCAAATGAAAGTACTCAATGGAAGTAAAGATACAACTAACTTATATATAGCTTTTTCGTACAAAAGATACAATTACAGAGCTGCATTGTACATTGTATAATTAGTATCGGCAAGCAAAATCCTCGGTTAGTCTCAGTTCAACGAATTCCAACTAATTTGGACAGGACATCAATAGATTTTTTCCACCACCAAATGAGTCTATTATCATTCACAGAATGACAGAAACCCACCGGGACTGTCTAATAAGACAGAACGAAGAAAGGAATGAAAGAATGGGAACGCTCAAGAAGTTTGTACCTGATCTGTTGCTCCCTGTCGTACGAAACCCAACTGAAGACAATCAATAAATGCGATAAATCAGGGTATAACAACAAACATAAAAGTAACTAACACAAACAAAGGGAGATTATAAAGGACTATAGGAATTTGATCACTCTTCTACTAATTCATCAGGACACAATAGATATTACCATACTGAAGAAAATGAGCTGGCTGGTCACAACCAAAGCCAACAGGAGCATGTTGAGAACTTTAAAAGAAAAAGCATTGAAATCTTAAGAACTGCAATGAAGAACAAATTGAGGAACAAAACAGAAATTGAAAATTATAAGAATATGTAAGCTGACAGGGGCATACTCTTAGGGCGTTGGGATCAGGTCGTTGAGCAAATAGCAATTCACATAATTATATTGCTGCAATATGAATAAGTTATAGAGGAATATCAGCCATGCTCATAAATAGCATAAACAATGCGAGAGAAAAGGGTGACGAAAAAAGAAATTATGTACCTGTTTTGAGGGAAGCCATAGCTGCACATTCGAAGCAACCAATTGATTTATCTCAACCGCGGTGGAGCTCCCACCCCAGTTCTGCATACTGCATTAGTATCTCATCATCTCTAAGCTCCACTCGTGTTTCCTTGTGATAACATTCCTTAGCGGCATGGAGGTCTCCCTTGGACGGAAACAATCCAAGATAAATGATTTTAGAGTCAGTTTTTGGGCACTTCAAAAGAACGGGAACCAAGCAAGCAAATAAAAAGAGTAGTTGTTTTTTAAACTTGCGAGCGATGAGCATAATTACTGATGAACAAAGGGTGGCTACGAAACCTTTGCAGGTGAGCAATCGAGCCTTGGCAAGTCTCCACTCCCTGATTCAGCATTATCAGCAGCAGGAGCAGACCCACAACTCCAATCACCCTTCTTCATACAGATGCAACATTCCCAAAAGTGACAGTATCCCATTGTAATCCAATCTAAAAAACAACAAAAAATGAAAGGCAAATGTTACCACTAAGACATTTGAAACAAAGAAGACTTATCTAGTATGAGCAACAACTAAACAAAAGAAAATTCAAATGGAATACTGCTAGCTTCACATTCATTGATAGAGTGATGAATTTAGCTAATTTTATACTTCTTCATATGCTAGATCAATTTATATCATTATACACCACATGTACCAACCAGTGAATGATTTTGGTAGAACGAAATTAGGTAGTTCAGTTATGTTTGTATAAGGAATAGAACTAAGAGATTGATAATTGAGTAAACTCACCTAACATGATCGATTTATTCTCTGAAATTGTGAAGGACCGGTTTTTGTGTCGTCAAGCCACCGTTTCTTAAGAGGCACCAATATCAAAGCACTGACTTAGATACATCAATGGAGAGAGGGGAAAAAAATATATGTGCATGAGAAACCTGTTCGTCCAGCCTATTGCGGGTTTTCAACAATGGCCCCATCAAGCAGTAAATGCATATGAGCTGGTGGATTGACCAAGCCAAAGCTCATGATAAAGCTTTTAGTGCACAGTGTCTCTCCTCCTACCTTGCTAAAGAACAAAATCAAAATCAAAAACTTGAACTTTTTCCAATACTCCCACATGTATCAACGCAAGCAAGAAGAATCAAAATCAGTTGAACATACCTTCATCGTAGAAATCTCTATAAGCCCCTGCACATAATACTCATCCAGAACATCTCTTTGCCGCCAAATCACCAATAAAGAGAGATCCAGTGCAACGAAGGAAAGGGATTTGTCCCTTTCTTGCCTTTTTGTCTTTCCTCTGGTGGTCGCTGTCGTTGGTGAACTGGAAATGGCGGAGGCTTGGGCAGAGAGCGACGCTCCGACGCTGGTACAGGGAGAAGGCAGACTGGCCAGCTAGTTTCCGCCTTTGGGGTATAGTTTGGAGAAGGAGAGAGGTGGGGAGGGAAGGAATGAGAGAAGGAGATTGGTTTCTTTGTCATGGATAGTAGATGCTTCTGGGGAGATGATGTGATGAGGACAGAGAGAGAAGAAGAAACTACGATTGGTATTTTCGTTATGGCGATGGCGTGTTTGAGCAGTTGCAGAGAGAGTGGGAACTTTGGAAAAGCATATTGGAATGGTGAAAAGATGGACATGACTAAAACAGTGTCTGTGATTGCTGATTTTGGGTAAAGGTAGCGTCTAGCGTGAGATTGCTGATTTTGGAGTAAGGTGGCGAAGAGAAGGCATGGCAGGCTGCTGGGGAGCAGAGAAGTTACGACTTGGGTCGGGGCGGGGGACGAAGTGTGTGGGAAGCTCTTTAGGCCATCGCCCACAAAACGTCAAAAAGTGATACAGTGAATAGAGTCTTGGGCCAAAAAGCGTACCCAGCTTTCATGTTTTAAAAGAATTTATCATCTTTAAAAACAAACAAAAATATTGAGTGAAATAAAATGTACTTTGTCATTCTTTTCCTTTTGTTTGACTAATTTTCTCACAAGAAGTTGTAATGCTTGTGCAAATACATTTTCTTTTGCAATTTTTTTCAAGCTATAAATTATTGTGATTTCATTTGCAAGAATGTTTAGACATCAACTTGTTTAGGGAATTTTAGGAACATTATTATCTTCATAGCTATAAAATTTAGGACCATTTCCTAAACTTTCTTGTTTTGAGTTGAAAGGTGGAAATTTCGCCCGCTATTTGATTACGTTTTGAGAATAAATTAATTTAAAAATTTACTCTTGCTATCCTTGGTTTGCACTCGCCAATTATATATTAAAAAATCCATATTGTATTGCTGAAATATAATAGCAAGTTCATTTTAAATACTGTTATTTTAGAAATACTTTTGGGGAAAAATAGAAAACTAGGAAAAAGAGCAATTCTTTTCACCATTAATCCATGAAAGCGTTACAAAAGAAGTAAATCTTCTGAAAAGGAAACCTAACTAGTTTGACTTTAGACAATGGGTTTAATTACATATTTTGTCGTGTTATTACTCAAGCAAATTGGCCGTTGAGCTCAGGGGACTAGCTAGGTATGCTGCAAGACATACGTACATTTGGCAGTTGGGCCAAGCAAACGTGGAAGAAGGTAAGGTGATTTGTTTCCTTGTTTTAGTGTGTTTTGGCCAGCACAGCTAAAAAAATGCGGAGATCTGGAAAACCTTCCATCTCATGCTTTCTATAAAAACATGACAGTGAAGTGTGCTCTTCTACACACAAAATAAACTTGGCTTTGTAGTGAAAAGAGAGAAAAGATTTGTATGGGTTAAGATCGATCATGAAAATGCAGCTTCGTGCAAACTGCATCCTTATTTTGTTGCTATGGTTGATTGCGTTGGAAAGCAAAGTTGTTACTGCCTCATCTTATTCTCTCCTCAGGAAACTTGAACTTGAACGATCACAAGTTGTAGTTGGAAAACCTAGTGAAGATGGAGGATACCAGCCACCAGTAAGTGCACCTCCAACTCAAGGGTATCCATCTCCAACACCTCCTTCGATTCAAACACCACCATCTCAGGGTTACCCATCTCCTTCCCCTCCTATTCAGTACTCACCGCCATCTCATGGTGGACAATCACCACCTATCACCTACCATCCACCTTCACCAAGTCCACCGCCAACTCACGGTTATCCCTCTCCACCATTTCCTCCTCAACATTCACCACCATCGTCCCCTCCTACTCAGAGCCCTCCAATCCAAACACCGCCATCTCATGGCTACAGTCCTCCTCCTGTAATCTCTCATCCTCCTTCACCAAACCCACCTAGTCATGCACTTCCACCTCCAACTCAAACACCACCAACTCATGGTTATCCATCTCCATCCCCTCCTACTCTATATCCTCCACCTCCAACTCATGAATACCCATCACCACCTTTCTTAAGCCCTCCCATACAAACACCGCCATCTCAAGGTGGGCAACCACCTCCTATAATTTATCACCCGCCTTCACCAAGCCCACCTACACATGCATATCCGCCTCCAACTCATGGTTATCCTTCTCCATCAACTCCTACTCAACACCCATCACCTCCATCACATGGTTATTCACCACCTCCTTCTATAAGTCCTCCAATCCAAACACCTCCGTCTTATGGTGGACAACCTCCACCTGTTATTTATCACCCGCCTTCACCAAGTCCACCTAGTCAAACACATCCGCCACCAACTCATGGTTATCCCTCTCCATCACCTCCTACTCAACACCCATCACCACCAACTCATGCTTACCCTCCACCACCTACTTCAATCCCTCCAATCCAAACACCACCATCTCATGGTTACACCCCACCATCTTTACCAAGCCCACCTGCTTATGGACACCCACCGCCAATTCAGACACCACCACCTCAAGGTTATCCATCCCCATCCCCATCCCCTCCTACTCAAATATCACCACCACCATCTCATGGTTACACACAACCCCCTTCTACAAGCCCTCCAATCCAAACACCACCATCTCATGGCTATAACCCACCAACTCCCAGTGGACAACCACCACCTGTTATATATCACCCGCCTTCACCAAGCCCACCTAGTCATCCTCCTCCAACTCAAACACCACCATCTCATGGTTATCCTTCCCCATCACCTCCTATTCAGCACCCATTTCCACCAACTCATGGTTACCCTCAACCATCTACCCCAAGCCCTCCAATCCAAACACCTCCATCTCATGGCTACACTCCGCCATCTTTACCAAGCCCACCTGCTTATGGACACCCTCCGCCAACTCAAACACCACCACCTACTCAAATCTCACCACCACCATCTCATGGTTACACCCCACCAACTCCTAGCGGACAATCACCACCTGTTCATGCACATCCACCGCCAAGTCAGACACCACCAAGCCATGGCTATCCCTCTTCGCCGCCTCCTGCTCAACTCACACCACCAACTCATGCTTACCCGACACCACCTATAATTTATCATCCACCTTCACCTAGCCCACCTATTCATGCATATCCACCGCCAACTCAGACGCCACCAACTCATGACTATCCTTCTCCATCGCCTCCAGCTCAGCACCCACCGTCACCAACACATGGCTATCCACCATCACCTTCGTTAAGCCCTCCCATCCAAACACCACCATCTCAGAGTGGACAACCTCCTCCTGTCATCTATAATCCACCGCCGAGTCCTCTCTCCATCCAACCTCCAACATACTCCGCTCATCAACCACCGCCAACACCTTCTCAAGGTTATGGACATCCTTCCCCTCCGCTGTAATAGTAGTGCAGTGCAAGGCATAAAGATAACAAGAGTTAAACATGCAAACTGTCATTGTAGACAATGTGTTGTTGCTGCGAATAATTATACTTGTAATGTGAATGGGAAAGAAATAAGTAAAATGAACTTGTTGCTACCACCTTCTGATTTCAAATAATCTCTTCCTCTCCGTAAATGCATTTTAATCACAATAATTTGTTTTAATAAATACAATAATGTTTATGGTACAAGGATCTAGGAATGGGAAAGTAGCTTATTATTGGCCTTTTAATTTTTGACATTATCACTTGTCTTTTTACTTTATGATAATCAAAATTATTCAACACCAAGATCAAACGTCAAAAATAATAATAATAACTAAAATATTATAACGGTACATTGTAAGATTTTATATTGCTAGTCCTTACAAAAACATTCTATCATTGTTACTGTTTGTGCCTGGGAAGTTCCAGGCGGTTTGGTGACACTACTGGAAAAATAACCTTTTGCAACACCTACTCTGCAACACTATTTGAAAGTGTCGTGTAATGTAGGCTACTCCAACACATCTATTTTGTGTTGATTAATTGAGCACTTTAGGCAACATCATTAATATTTTGTTGCATTTAATCTTATTAGGCAACACTTATGGATCACAATTACAATTTGTTGCATATTCCTTTACATAAGGCGACACTAGAAAAAATTCCCCTCTTTCCCGTGAAAGATAACGCAAAATTCCCCTCTTTTTAGGTTGAAATAATTAAATTTTCCCCTTAATTATTTTTTAAGCTCGCACTGATTTGTTACTTAAGTGAATAAATTTCCCTGATTCTTGCACATCAATTTATAATAAAAATCTCACCATAAAAGTTCCCCCAAATTCCACAAAACCCTAAGGGAGGCTATTCATCTCCCTTACAGCGCTTTCGTACTCTCCTATCTCGATTACCGAACTCCGACCTCCATACTTCCTCGTCATCTCTCTATGAAGCTGTGACCGCAACCATGCATGGTGGTAGCTCATTCGCATCACAGAAGCTTAGCGTTAATTTTGTTGCAACCCTTCAGATCGCGTTCGACCAACCAACCCTTCCGATTGTCATCTCCTCTGCATACTCCTCTAGTCATCTTTAACCGAGGTAGGATTTTTTTCCATTGTCATTTCAATTTCCTATTTTGGGCAAATGTATTAACCACCCTAACACAACTTTATTCTTTGATGCTTCTGGTTTTAGGGATTTTCGAAGGATTCCGTGTCAAACCCTTGTTACACGGCTTTCGACGCAACATTGTTGTTTGTGTTTCTTTGTAGCTAGGTTTTTGTCTCAATTTACCCATGGAAGCATATTGATTTTTTGCTTCTTGTTGTCGGGCTAGGTAAGATTACTTGCTTTCATTTACTCTATCGATTCTACAGTTTGCAACTGCGGATTGATTGTTCACTTACTTGGACACAGTAGAGACATTTGAGCTCCTTTTTCTCCAATCAACGAAGTGGGGCAAGGGAAGTTTCATATCCTGTTAACTCACCATTGTTCTAAATTGCTAAGTCATGTTATGGATTATTGGTTGATAATAGTGGATATTATCGAAAGAAAATGGGAGTGGGTAAACCAACTCCTGGCAAGCCATAACAACCACTAGGTTTTGAATTTTTCAAGCTTATTGGATAATTTGGGGTACATTTATAGGGTTTCCTCTCTTACTTGATAACTACCATATGACGAGATGTTCTTCTTTTCAGTTCCAGAGTCTTATTGTTATAGTTTGATTGATTCTATATCTCACAACAATCTGCAGCTTCTTCTTTGGCCAGTGATGTTTGTCTTAAATGGTAAGGCATATAATAAAGCAAAGGAGAGATCACTCGAAGATGAAAAAGGATCAAGAAGGTGAAGTCACCAGAGGAAGCAAGGCATTCAAGAATAGTTATATATGATTTTGTATAGCTTAGGAATAACATATTTGTATGTATTCATAGCTTTAGGCTTTAGCACATATGTGTAAGTAGTTTTGGCAGTAAATTAATCTGGGGATTTTATGTAATATTTCGTATAATATGAAATCCTCATTGATTTTGTTCGAATGTGATAAATATCACCATTACAAATACTTTCATGATGAAAAAAAATTGCTAAAAGTATATAATGCTCGTAACCAAAAATATTTGTCACTAATGCTATTGCATATGTGATTATAATTTTGTCACAAAAGTGATACGCTCGTGACAAAATTGAAGTTGTGACATGTAATATATATTTGATGTCGGTGTCAACTTGTCACAAAAGCTAGTTTTACTCAGGTCAATTTTGTCACAAATGTATAATGTTTGTTACCGGGAAAAGTTGTCACTATTTGATTTGTCTTATAAACGAAAAAAACCCGTCACGAATAAAGTGTACACATGTAACTTGTACTCGTTAAAAGTGTTGTATAAAGTTTTTGAAGTGTTACCTAAACTGGTGTTGCATAAGTAATATGCATATGCAACATATATTTTTTGTGTTGTGAAAAATGAAAAAAATGTTACCTATGACTTTATACAACACCACCTATAGAGGACACTACCAAAAGTGTTGCATATTATATATGCAACACTTTTCACAGTTTATGCAACACAGTTTACATGTTGCGAAAAGTCTCTTTTCCTGTAGTGGACGTCACTAGCCTCGTGCGGCCTTCGATGGATGAGGCGGTCTTCGAAACCCTGCACGAAAGGTCCTCGGGGGTTCCTGGGACCTCCTCCGATGCCAAAGTTAGAGAGAGAAGTGGGTGAAGTGTAAATAAGAGAGAGAGTGGAGTGGGTCGAAATTACCATAAATGTGGCCCTTAGAGGGATATTTATACTAGCTTTGGCTGAGGTGTGTGCATTAAATGGCTTGTCAGGCGTGTGAGGGCGCCTTCGGCCTTATTACATGCATGGTCAGGAGATATCTCTGCGGATCTCTGTCGTTCAGACTTGTCGGGCGGTCTGACTTCCCTGCCATTCGTGCTTGTCGGGCGGTCTTTGTCCTCTTTGGGGACCGCCCTCAGTCAGCGGATCTATTCTGCTGGGCTTTGGCTCGCTTTTGTGGCCTTTCGCAGATCATGGGCCTGTCGGCCCAGTGAACTCCATGATTGGCCCAACATTTGCCCCTTAGTCGTGATGATCGCTAGGTTTTCGCGGCTAACTGATTTTTACCATCATGGAGCGGTTTTGGGTCGCTCAGCCTATGATTATCTGCTTGCCCCTGGCCGCGGAGGCGTGGTGTTCGAACGCCTAAGGGGTAGTTTTGCTAACTGTAGTGAGTGATTGGCAGTTTCCGACCGCTCGCTATATTCGCCACGTGGTGGCTTTGATTTTCGCGCCCTGACGAGGGCAGGCGAAACGTCATCTAGGTGCTTTTGTGTTTCGAAAGTTTGCTTTAAATGGGGAGAGGTGTACTGTTTCCGCCATTGTGCTTCTCTATTTGCGGAAAATATCCCTTCGTCTTCCTCCTTGCTTCGCCTGCAACTCCCTGCGAAGCTCTGAGCTCCGCCGTCGCCGCTCTCCTATAAAAGCTTGACTGCTTTCGTTTTCGAGGTGAGTTTTTCCGACTCTTCTTTCCCCTTTTGTCGCGCGCTTTTGTTTGCCTTTGACTCGTGTGCCTTTTCGTGGATTTATTTTGGCTCGCGGCGTTCGCCCCTCCCCTTTTCTCCCCCGACGGCAGATGTCGAGCGGAGTTCCAGCTTCATCCGCCGAGATGGGAACATCACCTACCGCCGCTACGGAGGTCGCGTCTGGTGCGCCCCCTGTACCAGTTGGGGTTATGGCTACTTCGTCCGCGGTTGGGGACAACTTGGGTGAGTTTGGGGCTATAGACTTAGATAGTGATACAATGGAAGTAGATGAGGCGGTTGATAGTGGTGGGGAGCGTTCGGAGGCGCATCCGAGTTCTTCGTCTTCTGTGGAGGCAGTTAGTTCAAACGACGGGGAACCGCCTCTGGTGGCAATCGAGGATCCTATTTACACCGTGCTCCGCCACGAGGGTATGTGGGATGGAGAAGCGGTTCCCTCCGAAGTATTTGATCATGGACCTTTGCACGAGGCGACCTTGAGACCGGGTCAGGTGCTTCATCGTTTAAATGCGCTGGGTTTACCTCCCGAGTGGCAGTACGCGGCCCCCTCGGAGGCGAGTAGGTCTGGGTCATGCCCCGAAGGTTGGAATCCTATCCACGTTGAGCACGTGAAGTTGGGATTGCGGTTTCCCCTAGACCCGATTCTTACTCGGACCTTGCACCTCCTCTAGTGCACTCTTGGGCGCTTGTCACCTTCTATTATTTTTTAGTCGGTTATGTATCATTATGCGTGTGCACGCCTTGGGGAGACCCCTTCCTTTGATGCATTTCGACTGATTTATAATATTAGGGATTCGTCCAACTGTTGGTCCATAGGACGGCGTGAGAACGCAGTGGGGTTTGTGACGGGGTCGCCGAAGCTTGATTTCCCATGGTACAAGGAGTATTTTTTCGCGCGTCCTTCATGGAAGTGGTATTCTGGGGATACTGCTCCTTTGACAGGATACGCGATGGGGTCGAAGGACGCCTGGTGTGCTCCAACCCAGTTTCCACAGTCAGTGAGAGATCACGTTGACCGCATCGTGGAAGGATTTCACGCCTCGTGTGCTCCAACACAGTTGCGAGTCTACCCTAGCGGTTCAGGGATTGCATACCAGCATGTTCGGAAGTTCTATGGTTAGTGTTGCGTTTCTTTGTTTGTGGATTTCTCCATTCTCATGTACGTTTACTTATGCTTTCCTTTGCCAGGTTTGAGGGCCTTGGCGGATGCGGTCAGGCCGAAGAAGCGGAGGGTGATCGTGAAAACCTGAGGCGACCGAGGAGGTAGCTCATCGGCGGCGGTCAAGGATGTTCATCTCCCCGTGGTTCATCCCCAATCGGAGCAGCTGCGGCGGCTTCGTCTGAAGCGGCCGGAAGGGGTGGCTCCAAGAGGTTGGCAGAGCAGACCGCCCGTGGTCAGGCGGGTAAAAGGGCGAAGGTTAACTCCCCACCTAAGAAGGTGGCTGACCGGGGGAAGGGTGTGAAGCGCGGCGAGAATCTGAGTTCTGTAGAGGTATCGCCGCAGGCGGCCACAGATGGTGAGGCGGCCGAGTTTGCCTTTCACACTATCAGTGACCATCTCGTGATGCCCTCCGAGTATACCACCTCGTCCCTGGATAGCAATAGGCGTCTCGCTGAGACCGCTTCTCGGTTCTTCTTTTCGGTTAGTCGTTGTTGCCTAGATATGTTTTCATGCGGGGCATCGCTCGTTGGCTAACCGCGTTTGTTTTGTTTACAGGCTCATATTGGGTTTTCGCAGGTCATTCTGTTGAATAACCGCATGTCCCGGACTGTGGAGGACAATGCTGTTGAGATAGCTAAGCTGAAGAAAAGCGCCAACAAAGGGCGGGAGGCTCTGATGGGCGAGCTGAGACCGCAGGTGGAGCGTGAGTTTGAAGAGCAACTGGGTGATAAGGAGAAAGATTTGTTGGCCGAGAAGGAGGCGGTCAAGACTGTTTGCGAGGAGCGGGACCGTCTTCGGGTGAAGGTCCAAAAGTCTGCAGAGTTGGAGAAGGCCTTGTTGGAAGAATAGGAGGCGCTTCGCAAAGAGCTAGATTCCCTGAAGATTGAGAAGGCAAATTGGGAGGGAAACCGCGAGGCGGAACTGGCCGCTGCCCGCGCTGAGGCGGGACCTGCCTACTTGAAGTCAGCGGAATTCCAGGCGCATGACAATGGAAGTACAAGTCCATTGTTGGCAATGCGGTGGCCGCCATCAGGCATTGGTTCCATCGCGAGCAGCCTGATGTCGCTTGGAACACTGATCATATCTGGGACGCGGTTGGTGCATGGACTGACTCTGATGTCAATTCGGAGAAAGATGAGGAGCAAGAAGAAGAGGAAGGAGAGGAGGAGACCGCTCCTGAGGATGGCGCGTCTCCCCAAGTTTAAGATGCCTTGCACCTATCTCTCTGTTTGCTTTGTAACTTGGAATTTTTGAACCGTCACTTATGGACCGCTTGATGTCCTTTATTTGTGCATGTTTTGCCCCCTACGTGGCGGTGGGGGTTTTATGCTACTCCAAGTTCGGCCTTGCTGAGCTTTAAGAACTCGTAATGTTTTCTTTGTAACTTCGAAGCTTTGATTCGCTACTTCATGAGACCGCTAGGTGTCTCTGACCTTTGCATGTTTTTCCCACAGATTCAGTGATGGCGGTGCTTAGTAGCTTATCTTGTTGCGAGTGTGATTTTGCCAGTGTTAGCGGTGACAACTTTCCTATAGAGCGGGTAACACCGCCAGGGTTCTTGCCCAGTGTTAACGATGAAAATTCTCATAGGGAGCGGGTAGTACCGCTGGGATTCTTGCTCCTTCTGAGTTTTGTTTTTATTGAGCAAGCATTGACGCCTCTGAGGGTCCCGCGACGTTGGGACGACTCGTTGACCGCGTTGGATGTAATTGCCTCGTTTGTGGGCGATTTTAGTTTCGTTTCGTTAGAAGGCGCGTTCAGGGGGTGTCGTGTTGTGCACCGATCCTTCGTGGTTTTTGCTAGGTGTTAGCAAAAATATGAAACATGTGAAAGCTTGAAATATCGCCGAATATGTGAGTGTATTACTTAAGCAAAAGTGGTAGCTTAGCAGCGACCAATACACTCTTACATGTGGCGGGTGTACTACCCTGGCCACCAAAATGACTACACTCGAACCTGGAGTACTCTAGAACGCGTCCGAGTAGTACTTCCTCAGGTGCATTCCGTTACACGTTTTGGAGACTAGGGCTCCTTCCATGGTTGCAAGGCGAAAGGTATTGGGACCCGTTTTTTCTCCGATTAGGAATGGGCCTTCCCAATTTGCCGCGATCTTGCCGTGTTCGTCTTTCCTCTGAAAGTCGCGCTTGAGGACCATGTCTCCTTCTTCAAGGGGTCGAGATTTCACTCTTTTGTTGTAGGACGAGGCTACCTTTGCTTTCTCCGCGATGATGCGCTCTAGAGCCGCGTCGCGTCTGGCTTCCACCATATCCAATTGTTCCAGCAGCTTTTTGTGGTTGACTTCTGGGTCATATGCTTGGACACGAAGGGATGGTAGAATTAGCTTTTCTGGTGCGACCGCCTTTGAGCCGTATGTCAGAGCAAAGGGGGTTTCGCCCGTGGCAGTCTTGTGGGTCGTGTGATGCGCCCATAAGATATGCGGGAGCTCTGATGTCCACGCTCCTTTGGCATCCCGGAGGCGCTTCTTCAGTCCTTGTAGGATCAGTTTGTTAGACGCTTCGGCCTGACCGTTAGTCTGGGGGTAGGCCACTGAGGCCATGGTGCATGTGATGCGTTTTCTCGCGCAAAAGTTCTCAAACGTTCTACAGTCAAACTGAGTGCCGTGGTCGGTGACAATCGACTGCGGGATGCCGAAGCGAATCATGATATTGTTGAATACGAACTTTTGCACTCTCACGCTTGTGATTGTTTCGAGCGGTTCTGCCTCGATCCATTTGGTGAAGTAGTCGACAGCGACCACCAGGTATTTCTTCCTCAGTGGGGCAGTAGGGAATGGTCCTAGGAGGTCGAGTCCCCACCTGGCAAAGGGCCACGGTCCGACCACGCTTTGGAGCTCAGCGCTTGGCAGGTGGTGCCGAGACGCGTGCACTTGGCAGGCGTGACACTTCTGGACGACGTCTGATGCGACTTTGTTGATTGTTGGCCAGTAGTATCCCTGTAGAAGGATTGTCCTCTCAAGCGATCTGGGGCCGGCATGAGTGGCACACGTACCTTCATGTATCGCTTTCAATGTCCACTTTGCCTCCTCTGAGCCGAGGCATTTCAGATATGCTCCCGAGAACGACCTTTTGCACAAAAGGTCGTCCACAATGGCGTACCTAGTCGCCTTTCGTTTGAGCGCTTTCCGTTCTACTAGGTGTTGTGGCGCGATGTCGTGCTCCAAATATTGGAAAAGAGGAGTTCTCCAATCTGCGGTTTGGCCAATGTTCATGACCTCCTCAGTAGAGTCGCCTTCCTATGTGACAGTGACATGCCGGTTTCCTTCAAAGTCCATGGCGGTTGCAAGTTTGGACAAAGCATCAGCGTGCTGGTTATCGTCCCGCAGTACATGCTCCAGCTTCCAGGAGCTCAGTTGGGCGAGGCCGCTTATTACTTTGCCGGCTAGCATAGCTAGCGTTTGGTCTTTGATCTCGAACACCTCATGCACTTGCTTCACTACCAAGAGTTAGTCAGAGAAGATGTGGGCGTCTGATGCGCCAAGGCTTGACAGTATTCTGAGCCCATTGATGAGGGCTTCATATTCCGCGACGTTGTTGGTCTTGATGTCCTTGAATCTTAGTGAGATTTCATGGACGACTCCATCAGGGGATTCTACCACTATTCCTGCCCCTGAGGCGGTTTTTCCTGCTGCTCCGTCGATAAATAGCCGCCAGACTTGATTGCACTCCTCGGAGGGTGGGGTCGCGAGGGAGAATCCTTCAGCGATGAAATCTGCCAGGACTTGCCCTTTGATGGCGGGTCTCGGGGCGTACTCGATGTCGTACTCGCTGAGTTCGATTTCCCATTTGGTTAGCCTTCCTGAGGCGTCCATTCCTCGCATGATGCTCTTGAGCGGGAGGTTTGACAGCACCGTGATTGGGTGCCCTTGGAAGTACGGTCTCAACTTCCTAGCCGCGGAAGTTATCGCCAGAACCGCCTTTTCGACTGGCATGTATCTTGTTTCAGCGGGAAGGAGGGCCTTGCTCACATAATAGACTGGTCTGTCGGTTCCATCTTGTGCCCTTCTTGCCCAGAATGAGCTCACGGCCTGTTCGGACACGGCCAGGTAGAGGTAGAGACGCTCTCCTTGGATGGGGGCGCTCAAGACTGGTGGGGAACAGAGTTGGCTGGTGAGTAGCACGAAGGCCTTGTTGCATTCGGCACCCCATTGAAGTCTTGATGCGGACTTTTTCAACATTTGGAAGAAGGGAGAGCACTTGTCGGCGGACCGCGGAATGAACCTTCCTAGTGCGGCCATTTTGCCGTTGAACACTTGGATCTCTTTGATCGTTTTGGGTGGTTTCAGGTTGAGGAACGCCTCGATTTGTTTTGGGTTTGCTTCGATCCCTCTTTTTGTGATCATGAAGCCCAAGAACTTTCCCGCTTCGGCTCCGAAGATGCACTTTAGTGGGTTTAGCCTTAGGTTTTTCCTCCTCAAGGTTTCGAAGGTCTCTCGCAGATCGGATAAGTGGTCGCCGGCCTTCTTGCTCTTGACTAGGAAGTCGTCTACATAGGCCTCAACATTCCTTCCCATTTGATCTTTGAAGAACGTATCCACCATCCTTTGATAGGTCGCTCCAGCGTTCTTCAACCCGAAGGGCATGACTACGTAGCAAAAGTTGCCGATGGGGGTCATGAAGGCGGTCAGCTCTTGATCGCCTTCGGCCAGCTTGATCTGATGATATCCAGAGAACATATCTAGGAAGCTCAAGGCTTCGTGATTGGCTGTCCCGTCAATGAGTTGGTCAATGCGGGGGAGAGGGTATGCATCTTTGGGACACGCTGCGTTGAGGCTGGTAAAGTCGATACACATCCTCCAGGCGCCTCCGGCTTTGCGCACAAAGACCGGGTTTTAGAGCCATGTGGGGTATTGCACTTCCCTTATGAAGCCGGCTTTAAGTAAACGTCGTACCGCCTCTTCGAGTGCCATTTGTTTTTCTAGGGACAAGTGCCTCCTTCGCTGTTGGATGGGACGCGCCTTAGGCTTGACGGAGAGTCGATGTTCGGAGACCTTACGGGGAACGCCTGGCATGTCCTCTGGGCCCCAGGCGAAGAGTTCTTGGAACTCTTTGAGGAGTGTGAGCAAATTTTGGGCTTCCTCTATGGCTAGATGCGACGAGATGCGCACTGTTCTGTCAGGCCGCTCTTCATCTAAAGGGACCGCTACATCTCCTTCAACCGCCTCTGGGCGTGGCACATCACCTCTAGCGTCGACCAGGTCAACTTCGAGGTGTTTGATGGTGGCCTGGTAGCACTCTTTAGCCTCCTTTAGGTTTCCTCGGACGCGACCTGTTTGTCCTGATCATTAATTACATTGAAAGATAGTGGAAGCATCATACTAACAAAAACAGTAGACATAAAAGTCAACATGGTTTGAAACATCTTGACGTAATAAATATCATCGTAAAATCACATTAAGTCTCTCGTTCCACTAAAGTACTGAACTTAACTTCTTTCTTCTGGAGTCCTTTGGAGCCATTAATGAATCATTGAATCCATATGAGTGCTTATGTGCTTCCATGATTCCTGAATACAGGCGTTGGGGTCAGTCCTAAACCTAGTTTCGCTTTAATGGTGACAAACTCTTGATTACATGATAGAATAAATAAGTATGCTCGTGCCATGCTTGGTACATGATAATGTGCTTAAAATCAATTGAATCTTGATTCTTATGAAAGGGGGTCCCGAACTAAACTCAACTAGCACACCGACCGGCACCAATCGTAGCATATGTATATGTGAGCTTCCACCTAATGGGAAGACACATATTAATCATAGACTTCCACCTAGTGGGAAGTAAGGTAACCGGGTGCTATCTAAGCAATTGGCCGACACCAACATAACTTATCATAATCAATACATTCCACTAAGTGGGAAGTAAGGTAGCCGCGTGTTGCTAGTCAAGCGAATACGTAAAACGTATTCTTACTTGATAACTTGGTAACTTGAAACGTAAGTCCATAAATTTGCTTGGAAAGTAAACTTGTATCTGCTTGCATGAAAACATGACTTCGTGATGGAAATATGGAATGCAATGCCATGCTTACTTCACATAAATAAACTTACCGTGAACATATACATAGAACATATTAATGTAGCTTAATTAAATGACATGATTAAAGTGAAATGCTAACTAGCCCCCTCAAACCACGCACCATATTAATTTACGTCAGTTGACTTGATCTTGTCACCAACTCCAAGAATCGGTGCTCTGGCATGGGTAAATTTCCTTGGTGAACCTATGACGAAAGCGGAGGTTATATCGGTTGGGTTCTTGGGTTCTTAGCGACGGTTCTCGATTTGGGACTACTTTGCAATATGTGCAAAGTATAGGGGCTTACTAAATTCTTATTAAATTAAATCTATTAATTCAACTTAAATTCATCTTTCTCGGTCTACCAATAAACTTAGTTTATCAATCAATAAGATTAACTAATAATATTCTTTTCACCAAAAAAAAAACTAATAATATTCTTGATGGGTCAAAACTGATAAACTTACTCATTAACTACTCATATTAACATAACTCCCTTGTCCGGTACATTATCATAATAAATTCTAATTTAACTCGTGAGGATATTCTACCAGTCAAAACTAATATTTGCTAACTAATAACTTAAATCAACAATATCTATAAACTTGCTAGAATAACCTGTTAACATCATTATTAATCATACTATTAGTTTAAATACTTAACTAACTCGAACCAAACCATCTAATCAACTACAAGGTTATTGATTAACATCCTGATCCATATGCTAACAGGTGATACATTAAATCAATTTATAAGTAATCCAATTGACACTACATAATCGATACTCAGAACCCACTACAAGAAAAGGTGTCTATGATAAGGGTTATTTTCGCTTATAGGAAGGGTTTTAACCCATGCTACAGGATATAGCAAGGGTTTATCAACCCTTGGACGGACCCTTGGCAAAGCTGCCCTTGCTACGTATATCAAGGGTTTTAAGCGGCCCTTGGTGGAAATCTCATGCAGGGGTTCTACCAAGGGTTTTGAACCCCTACTACGTTAGTAAGGGTTTAAACCCTTGCTATACGTCACTTAAATTAAAAGGGATCATTGACACATAACTTACATGTACAAAGGGTTAAAACCCATGCTATGCTTTGCTAAGATTAAAATAAATTAGTGTCACTTTTTCGTCACCAAACTTGCTGTCGCTAATATTCAACCTAATCGTATCTTTCGGAACCACTATCTCATTACTAAAGTAGACATTTCCGTCAATAAATAAAAAGTTACCATAAACAAAAAAATCCTTCAATAAATTTTAATATTCTTATTTTGATATTCAATCATACCATAATCGTACCGTGATTAACAATCTTAAAACAACATAATTCATATGACATTCAAAATATCTAAACGTATTATGAACACTAGAAAACATCTAGAGTACACCTTTATGATCTATAACTCCTATTAGGCCTGTCGGTTCGGTTCGGGTCGGGTAACCGAACCCGAAACCCGCTCAAACCCAAAAACCCAAACCCGACTCCCACAACCCGAAACCGAAACCGAAGTGCTCTCTGTTGGTTCTCGGGTTCTGGAACCCGAAATGGATGCTGGCGGGTTCGGATCGGGTCGGGTGAACCCGAAACCGAACCGTTTTTGAGTTTTTTTTTTTTTTTGCTTTTGTGATTTGAATTTTACATTATTTTGCTTGTACAAACAATTTTATTCTTATTATTTGTACATTTTTATTTAACCATTATGTTTAATTTTATGGGACGTGGACAATATAAAATTAATATTTACATATTAGTTTATTATTAAAATATTAGTTAATTATTAAAATATTTAATTTTATGTATTCTATAACTATAGACATACTATTAACTATTAAAGAGTATTAGTAGTTTAGAGACAAAGTAAAATACTTAAATATATTTTATACGTAACTTAATCATATCTTATTTAATTGTGAATTTTCGTATAATTAAATATTTTAGTCATACCATAGGTCCAAAATTGAAGGTATATCAACTATCATATGCAAAAAAATATGTGGTGTTTGGCGCAAAATTATAAATAATTTTGTTCAACATAAAATACCGACAATCATAGATGAGATTATCTTCAACTCGTAATTAAACACATTAGTTTTACAATTCTCAAATGATAACATCCAAGTAAAATAAAAATCCATCCACCATACAAGATAAACACTACTACCATATCACTCCTCATCAGGCTCTACATCTACATAAGTCTCATCATTCTCATCAGAATTGTCGTCGACATAGTCTTCTTCCACTTGTGACATAGTAGGACTCGGGACCAAAACATGGGTAGCAGGAGAGCTTCCACTAGGTTCTGCACGAGAGCTTCCACTAGGTCCTGCAGGTGCACTTGCACTCCGAGCTTGAAAAGCTGCATATACTGGATAACATAAACAATAACAACTTGTTAGATTCACACAAACAAACTAGTTGCACTTCCGACTAGTGCAAGTTAGTTATTAGCTATTTCCTTGAAACCAAGATAAAGCAATAGCTATTAGCTATACCACAAACCCCACAAGACGAGCCAGAGCAACATAGAAAGACTAATCTGAAACACCCAAATTTGCAAATCTCTGTTTCCCAATCTGGTTAGGAAGAAGCTCTCTATTGATGAAACAGAAAAGAGTCTCTCACCAGAAGAACAGTTTGATCATCATCAGCATGTATCCACTTGAAAGATAGAGGACAGACGAATTCAGGGGAGCAAATCATCATCATGAGAAGCACCCGTGTTCTAGTTACAAGATGGATATACCTTCAAAGAAAAAGTTACAGGAGGGGATCTACAATCTGATTCGATCACCATCATCTACTAACAACAAGAATTAACCATTGGACTGTTCAATTACAGAGGAAAAGCAGATGGTTGATCAACATCTAAATCTACTGAGCCCCATTAAACTGTAGAGTGCCCCAACCAAACCGCCATCCAAGCACAGGATCCCAACCCAATTTGCCAAACAATCCACCTCCCCAGCCTATCAGGTTCAATCACACGAACACAGAGCAACATAGAAAGACTAATCTGAAACACCCAAATTTGCAATAGCTATTAGCTATACCAGCTGCTGATGATGGCGGATTAAAGTAACTAGTAAAGTATTGGCCCCAAAGAGAAACAACGAAAGTTGTGATCTTTCTTGCACAAAATCAAAACCCACTTCGCCAAACAGGAAGCCTAACTCCCTAATCCAGCAAATAAGAAAGTGAAAATAGTGGTCAAATTTCGAGAGCAAGCCCATTTCAAATATTAACCCTCTGTTTTAGACCAGTCTCTAGCAATGGCGGAGGAGGCAGGGGAAGAGACAAAAGGGTTGGGATTTTGTTCAGTGGAAAAGATGTGGAAGTGGGAGCTTAAATTCGCCATTGTTGCCCTGTTACGCCATTCCATCTCTCAACAGCAACAGCAATCCACATTCAATATCACAACTAAGCACAAACACGGCGAAAACCCAGATGCTAAATTCGAAACTAAATTAATCATAGAACAGAAACGACGACTGACTGACTGCAAGCAGAGAAGAAATCAGAACCCCTACAGCAAGTGGATGCCAATCAAAATCAAAATTCAGGAAAGGTAAAAGGAGCTTACTGGGATTCCATGTCTGTTTTGTACGGTGATTTAGGATTTGACCAAAGGCAGAAGCTTCGAACCTAGAGGAGTTGCTCGTGAAATCGCCAATCTCCACTTCTGCACCCTGTCGTCTGCTTCTGGCTCTTCGTCGTCGATGGGTGGATCTGGCTCTTCTGGCTCTTCGTCGTCGTTGATGGTGGCGGCCGGCGATGGATTTGATGGCAGTCGGAGGTCCTCACGAGGCCGCTGGCGGCGAGGACGATGATGGCGGCGAGGAGGCTCTGTCTCTGTTTCGTCTCGCTCTGTTTAGTTTAGGTTTGCCAAAAGCGAAGAAACGGCGGCGACAACACTAGGTGAAGGCTAAGGGTAGGGTTGCTCTCAAAAGTTCAAAACGACAGCGTGACTGTATCGGGTTTTGCGGGTTTCTTCGGTTTTGCGGGTTTTGGTAAACCGAAACCGATGTAGTGTGTTTCGGGTTGAACCCGAAAAAACCAAAACCGGCACTGTGCATATCGGTTCGGGTTAAACCGAAAACCCAAAACCGAATTGACAGGCCTAACTCCTATTAGAAAGTCGGATGCATGCGAGAGCCTGAATGCCTGATGAACACTTGCTCCTTGGTTGGACTAGAAATTTGTCACCGCTGCTGGAACACTAATCTGCTTTAAGAAACCAATTCTGCAATACAGTAAAAGCACTAGCAATTTTATGATTTTATAAGAAAGTAGAACCTCATTGTTTACAACTAATGCTCTCAAGCTCACAAGAGACCCGTGCTCTTCTATGGACTTAAGCTTCTTTTTCTCATTTGTTAATATTTGATCCACAAAACATGCAAATTTTTTCCTTACAGTGTAGTCAAGGAGTCTAGAGATGATACCATGAAGGACTGACATGGACAGCGGTCGTCGGATGCCGGTGATGATATCGGGATGAGAAAGACGAGAAGAAGATCTAGTTCAATGATCCAGTAATTCTGTGATCTCTCTCTCGCTCCATCGTGATTCTCCAATCTCTTGCTCCGACGGAATCAGGAGCTCTGTAACACCCATATACTTTACTTTTCTCCTTTATAAAACTATACATCATTATCATCAATTACCAAAATCTTTAAATCTCCTGATCCATAATAAAATTTTGAAAAAAACTCATCTTCAAATGGCTCATGTAAAACAATGTGGAGAGTTCAGTCTGCCGCCCACCTCACAACCATCAAGCTCGAACTTGCTTCGTCCCATGGCCTTCACCCATTTATTTATTGATCTGGAAAAAATATTGACGGGAATGAGACGTCACTCAATGAGTAAAAACTAACCCAGTATCGTAATTAACATAAACAATGTATTGAGCAATCACGGTTACCGTTATACCCCTTCTTGTTCTCATTATACCAGTAACTCTATAAACAAGCCTTCGTAGCAACTTCGAGTCTTTTGTTTGAAGCCTTAAAGATATTCAATCTTTCATCCAATGCCTTGCCTTTGTATAAAAAATACGTAATTTAATGTGGTAGAGGCCTCTGGACTTGACTCGCATCCATGCTTCTCAAATTGAGCTACAAAGTAGGCTTGACAAATACGTTGCCAGACTTAGCCATTTTTAGGCAGTTTCCCAGTTTTGGCATAGCCTTTTGGTCAGGTTCAAAAATGGTCTTCTGGACTTTCTATTGAGCTCCCAAGTACTTTAATGTGTAGAGGGACACTTCAGCTTCAAAACAAGTCTTTAATCTCCAATTTCCATCTAGCCAATTGTAAGATATGAATCTCCAAAGTAGGCACCATGAAACTTTTTTTACACTGAAACAACAGATTAGGTCGACCTGATCCTATATGAGGTCGACCGAAAAGTGCATGTCACCGTGACATGCATGTCATCACGATAGCAAAGTCCTAATAAATATTATCCCGCAAAACTAAAACTAATTCGTCCTTGCCTGGGAGAACATCGTGCCACTAATGAAGAATTATAATCAAGAAAGTAAAGCATGCACCGCATGCAACAATTCCGCATACCCCTTCACCCACTAAGTTTAGTCCTTCGTTTACTTTTCTTTTTCTGTCTCTAATCAAGCAATACAATCAAGAGATAAAGGCAATACCTTGACTAATTTTCTTGTAAACCCTTCACCTTGTCCAATCCCTCTCTATCCCATGAAGGCGGCTCACTGAAGCAGAAGGTAAGAAATGCCTATCTCCCTCTCTATGTACTTTGCGGTATAAGGAATGTGAGAGAAAGAGATGGGTTGATGCAAATGAAGGTGCATTACCTATTCCACCTCTCCCCCATATAACTGACAATCCATTTGAGCCATGCAAAGATTACAATGACCACGTGTATTAAGTTGTTCCAACTACAAAGGTCAAATTGACCACGTGTGTTAAGCTTGCTCAAACTAGGGACTTGGTTCCATGCAAAAGTCAGGAGGAGTAATGGGGAGATAAGGACAAGGCAATTTACCCTCCCTAATATGTATAATATAATCCTATCTAGAGACAAATGTTTGAGGAGAGGTGGCCTCAGAGTCTAGGGTGGAGGTGGTAGGTGAAATTCTACAAGTGGCTATCAAGTATCAACTCCTTAATGGGTAATTAAGTTATACATTCTTGGGTCTCTACAAATGACGTGTAAACGTGTAGCTAGCTAGTGTTTGTTTTGGTGACTCCTACCTACATTTTTTTGTGAAATCGCTCTAATAAATTGCTATGATTCAACCGGAAGTCATGAAAACTTAATCTATCTTAGAGGTTTCTGGTATTCCTTCATCATATCGTTCGTGTATTGCTGATGTACACAATTTAAACTTAAACCTCATGCAATAACATATACGTTACATACTTAAAAGAAAGAGGATATCACAAGCTCTCTCTCTGACCTCTCTTTTGCGCTCAAGCAGAATCAGCGAGCTCTCTTCCTAGATCTCTCGCGTGCGGCGGGATCATCGATCATGGGCAGGAAAGAAATGAAGAAAATCGTACAATGGAAATAGGGATTTTCGATTTCTTACGGGTGAAATATAGGTAAGTGTAGCAAGGGTTTTCATACTCTTGAAATAAACCGTCGTTAAAATGAATTATGGGGAAAATACCAAGTGTTTTAAAACCTTGCTATAGAACCCTTGGCGTAGAACCTATATTTAAAACACATTACTGCTCGGCTCTAAAAGGGTTGCCTCTGCCTCTAATAGGTCAGCCTTTTCGCGACGGTAACAGAGCCGACGCAGAAAGACTGCAAATGCCGTCGATAATTATCCAAAATTCTACAAACTCCTATGTAGTAGTCCAAACGTCTATTTAACGCGATGGGTCAAGTTTCCTTACCTCGTATACATGCCTAGACCTAGATCTGAGTTTGAAGGACCTTTGTTCCTTGATTAATCGTCGTTCGATCACCACATACCTACCTACGCAGTCAAAGCTACGTTGACGAGTGATGAGTGTACAATTCGTCAGTCAGCTCGACATTCGTAGCCCAACACTCTCTACCGTGATTATGAGGAATAATTAGCCCAGCCCATCAAGAGCAAGGCCTTGAGCCACGTAGCAAGTTTGTTAGAGTTAGTGGTGCAAGTTGTTATAGTTAGTGGTAAGTTATGAATAAGCATCTCCATGTTTAGTGGAGAAAGTGTAGCAGCAGTAGAGGAGATCGTGGAGTTAGTTCCACAAAGTTAGGCTTTACAGTTTAGAAACGTTGGTGTATTTAGGTTGAGAAGGAAATGAAGAATGTAAGCAGAATTTGAGTAAGGAAAACCTCTGGTAATTTCTCGCCAAGAAAAGAGAGAACTGGCTCAATCCCGCCAAGAAAAGGGATTCATTCAGTAATACGATTTCAACTCGTATCAACGAGCAACCTTGGTTAGTTAACTATGTAACTTGGAACTTGAACGAAGCTGGGGATTCGTTGTTCTAACCTACTGATTGAGAGACAGTGGACGAGACTAAGGAATGACGGCTGGCCGTATTGTCGTTCTCAGACATTGATGATAATGGCGACATTGACGACCTCAAAATGTTTGATGGGTGTCGCGAGCTAGGTTGATGATGATGATGGGTTGAGAATCTGTGGCGCAGAAAATAAGTAGTGAAGGGAAGTGGAGGAGATGAGAGCATGATGGAGTAGTGTTAAACTTATGGAAGGAAATAGAGGGGTTCCATGCTAAAGAAGGGGATCGGTTAGCATGCTAACCCTTCTAAAGGGTTGGAAAAATGACACCCCTATTAATTATAGTTATTTTTTGTATTAAATTTGTGTTGCATTTAATAATCTTTGGAAATTAAAAACTCATCTTAATTACATTCCTTTTTTTAACTACCATTACACCTGTATACTGAACTCATATTAATTACGTTCTTTTTTTGGAACTACCATTGCACTAATACATCTAACATTGCACCTGTACACTAATAACATTGCACTGATACAACTACACACTGAAAAAAGGAAAGTAATTAATATGTGTTTTTAATTCATACAGATTATGTTAGGAACGGAACAACAAACAGGGACGAGGTTACCGAATCTGGAGCTGAGTCGCGGACTAGGTCGCTCTCTTTAAGACGTTCGCGGCACTGCCCTCGATGCGCACGACAGACTATCAGCCGGTCGTCTCTAGGATAAAACAGCTCCTCGAATGCTCGACGGTTTTGTGCGAAAACCAGAGCTCTCTGAACACTCTCTTTATTGTGTTTATGCTCGTTGTGCTGTGTTTAGAGGGGCTGGGGAGGCGGCTATTTATAGGAGCCAAACCCCTAGGAATATACCCTCTAGCTTGGGGAATAAGTCGGATTAATTAAGGAAGATAATTACTTCCTTAATCAAAAATAGTCTGTTACCATAATTCCTGCGGGATTATCCTTCGAATATTCATTTTAATCGATTATCCTTAGAATATTCCTCAGAATAACCGATTAATAATTAATTATTAGATAATTAATTTCCTTCGGAATTTCTCCAAAAAATATGTAGTCTCAAGTGAACCAACCAACCGAGGTCGGTCGGTCGGACGACGCGCGTGTGTGTGTGGTGGTCCGTTAGGTCCTCCCTCTCCCACAAAAGTGGGTCACCTGAAGGGGAATGCCCTTAGGAGAGAGGCTCATATCTTTATACACATTTCATCAAGTAAAACTACCAATTTGGTAGTTTTTCCACTTGAGACTCGCTTTCAAAGCTATTCGTTCATTTCCAACAATCCCCCACTTGAATAGTTTTGAAACTATCTCTGAGCATCAACAGTTCCATAAGTTCGGGTATAAGCTAAGGTATCGCGAAGATTTGAACCTTAGCGTAGTGGTTACATTTCCGGT